CAAACATTAAATATGCCATGAAACTACTGAAACAATACCAATTCTACACCATTTCTTTTTTGCAATAGTTCTATCTTAAAATCATTTTAATTTTACAATAAAACTTTTTATTAGATTCACTCTGCGAAAATCATTAACTTCCGTATATGTCATATCATGATTTGAACAGATATATATATATATATATATATATATATATATATATATGAAAACAACAACTTTCGATAAAGAAACAATAAAAGAGCTTCTAACGAACAACGCCAGCACCATCAGCTTGCAGCAGCAAGCCCAGGTCTTGTGAACGGGTGATTGATATCTCTCCTGTAAGAAGAGTTCTGGGCCTCTTGAAAGTGTAAAAGGACAGAATAAAAGTATTTGCTATACTTTTAACTTTTGAATGAACATTTAAATTGAGATTGAGGTGGCCAAGAAAAAGAAAATAGTACATTTATCAAAGAACAGTGTTACGATACGTAAAGTTATCATCAATTATGGACTAAGATCACATTATCATTAACATATTTTTAATTTTATGAAAGTGCTCTTACTGGTTTGGCTACATGGCTAGGTTGTTTGTTTTTTTTGTTTAATTTTTTTGTGTTTTAAATTAATTTTTTGTGCTTTTTATTGTTTTAAAGTCATGATATTAGAAAATAAATTTTAAGTTTTTTTATTTATTTATTTTTGTGTTTTAAATTAATTTTTTGTGTTTTTTATTGTTTTAAAGTCGTGATATTAAAAAATAAATTTAAAAAAATATAAAATATATATTATTTTAATATATTTTTAAGTAAAAAATAATTTTTTTTTAAAATACTTATTTGAAAGTGTGGTGCATATTAGTTTTCAAAGTGTTTTTACTTAAAAAATATATTAAAATAATATTTTTTATTTTTTAAATTTATTTTTTATATCAACAAATTAAAACCATACAAAAATATATTTTAAAACTAAAAAACTAAAAATAAAAATAATTAGACCACACAAGATAATATCTAGAAAAACTGAGAGTAAATCGTGAAAGAGTGATGAGAAAGGGAAATGAAAGGTTAAGACAATCAGACAATTAATGATTGATATCTCGTTCAGTTTTTTGTTCTTTCCATTTTTCATCATTCTATCTCTCGCAACAGACATGTACTTGGATAAAGTCCACAACAATATGGTTTATCCTAAGATTTTAATTATCAATAAAAAAAATCCTAACACCACTAAGAACATCTCCAACTACACAATGAAAACATGTAGCCAAACATTAAATTCATCCATTGAATCCATTTTAACGCTTTGAGAAAGAAAAAAAAAGTTTCATTGTTTGACAATTTTATCTTCCTTTAATGGTTTGTGCTAAAAAAAGGTCGAGAGAAGATCATAAACAATCTAGTCAGAGTCTTAAACATCAGACCATAAACAAGTTTCCATCATCGCGAGTTCAATTTTGAAGGAAAAAAAAGGAGAGAAACATTCCATAATTTCATTCTTTAGGGTCTTGAATATAAAAAGTAAGTTCAAAATTGAAAGGGTAAATGGTCGTCAGAAAAGGCAAGTTGTTTCTGGATCAAGAAACAACCTTTCTGTAATAACTCATATTTATAACACGTCTCCTCAAAACCTAGAATATACTAATAGTATCCTCAATTATTCAACGCATAATGTGTGCCCATATCTTTTCTGGTCTGGTCCAGTTCGCTCCAGTCCAAAAGCCATCATAATCACAAAATAAATAAGCCACCAGTTTTTCACCTGTCACTAATTCCTACGATTCTCTCTCGGTCTCTACCCCCGTCAACCTTTCACTGTTATTTCTTCCACGGACAGAAATAATGGCTTTAGAGATCTGTGTCAAAGCTATTGTTGGTGCCCCTAATATTCTCGGATATTGTAAATTTTGTTTGATGTTTTTGTGGGTGTTATTTGTTTGTGATTTTACACCAGGGTTTTGATTGGAACTTATGTATTTTTGCTGTTTTAGGCCTAATTTGCCAGAGAATTCTATCGAGTCTGGAAGAGAAGAAAATTCCATACAAGTCTCATCTCATCAATCTGGGTGATAAACTTCGTGGTATTAAAATGATCACATTTGTCAGTTTTCAGAATAGTTGTGTTTATTATAGTTTGAGGTTGTTGAGTGCTTTTGTAGTTCATTTCAAGTGTTTGAGAAAATGGTTCCTGTTGTATCTATGTTTTATTTCCAACGTGTAAGATTGAAGCTTTTCTTGCTGTGTTGGATCACTTATAGCTGTTGTTTTTAATGTCTTCATGCGTTCCACATGTGTGTGAGTGCGCCTATATATATATGCTATTTGCTTAAGAAGATACCTGCTAGTTGTGATGGTTATTGTTGACTTCGAGGGAAAACAAGCCCCTCATTTAGTTAACCACTGAGAACAAACTATTTAAAAACGATCTTAGAGGGCAATATCATTGTTTTAATCTAAGATCATTTTTTTTTAGTTCAGATATGAAAGGAATGCTTTAACGTGTAAAGAGGACTCAACATCATTGATAACAACTGGTATCATAAACTATGGATGAACAGAGCTTTAATGACTAGAATACCCTCGATATGATTGAAAAATATGTGTAATGTTTTTGCTTTTATGCAGCATGATGGATTGAGATTTGGAAGGTTGTTGTTTTGATAGGTTTTTGGAGATAAGCCCGGAAGGAAAGGTCCTAGTGGTGAAAATTGATGACAAATGGGTTGCAGATTCTAACGTCATTGCTGGTATTTTAGAGGAGAAAAACCTTAAACCCACTCTTGCCACTTTTCTAGAATTTGCCTCTATGTAAGCATCTTTCACCTTCTTTTACTATCTCCAACAGTTTGAATATGGATGTGATAGTTTTGCTGGATTATTTTTTTCTACCAAATGATGTGAATACTGGAAGTTGCTGAATTTGCGAGATAGATATTGTTTGTAAATTTGTTTCTCTCTCTATCATCAACCACTGATTCTTTTTTGTTTTATGTGCTTAAATTTACGGTGCTTTCTCCTCACTGTTAATGTGGTAATGGCAATGTGCAAAAGCTGTCGAGGAACATGTCATTGCTAGATGGGAGCCAAAGGTCAATGCATGAATTAGTTCCAGATTACAAGATATTGGAACCTAGTCATTTAATGTGGTGGTTGAGCCTTCTCTCTCAAGAAAAAAATGGGTGTTGAGCCTGGTGTGTGTTAGACATCTAAAAGTAAGATACACGCAGGGTGCTCTGTTAACTAATAAAATTCATTAACCTATCAGTGCAGTGGCCTCTATTAATTTGGAATGGCTGGAATTATTTTAATCTAGCTTTGTTATATTGTTATTAGAGCAATGGCTAATGTCCATTATGTTACTTTGCTTCGTTGTTTTATGATATATCCATTAATATTTCGAGTTAAAGTTGGACTGCATTATCCCTCCGAGATTTTCCATTTGCAGGAAATGATAAACCACCACTTGGATATCCTCGTCGACTTGGATTCCAAGGTGAACCTTGAACAACTATATGTATCTCTTTTGTTGTTATGGTATCGAGTCTTTTTTAAAGTTCCATTTTAGCCTGGATTTCTCCTAAAGCTCTCCGGTGCAAGCGAGAAAGCGCATAACAGCACACAAAAACACAAGTGTATATATATATATAGACACGCGCGCGCACACACACAAGTACTACTTTAAAAGTCATTATCTCCTCAAGTACCTTCGGTACGAACCCAAAGGGCTTTTCCTGGAGACTTGGGCCTGGTCCGCCACTGAGGACACTTCTTCAAACTACAATTCAGATGCTGCAGGCGCTAGATTCTCAAGTTGGGCATTTCCCAATTCATTCGTCGTTACTAGTTCATTCGTCGTTACTAGAGGAATCCTTGTAAGTTTCTTTTCCTTCATTTATTGATATGCTTAAACTCACCGAGTAGTCCCGCCTAACCTAAGGTCGCAATAAGAGCATCCTAGAAAGTCGTGCCCAAGGGTCCAAGAGATCTTGGGGGTGATAGGCATGCGCACGAGCGGTAATTGAGAGACTTTCAGACACAGAACAACACATATATGAAAGGATTTTCATTTTTTCTTTTACTAGTTAATTGTCCCTTCAGTTATCATATATAGAAGGGTTTTCACTTTTCTCTTACTGGTTGACATTGGTTGGTGTGAAACAATAGATCCATTACTACATATAGCTAAAAGCTACAAGCTAATGGTCTCGAACTAGTCAATGAACAAGACAAATTTCTAACTCTAAAATATACTAATTAACATAACAAACATGATTTTATCGATTTGGTTGTGTTGTTCTTGGTCCTTAGCTTATCAAGTCCTTTTTTTACTGTTTGACCTATCCTATCTCTTCTAACTTGTTGTCCTGTATT